AGAGATAATCAGCTGCCAGGACAATACTGGACATTACCAGTGTTATTGAAACAATGTGCTACTTGAACAGAATATTTAAGAGAACACTGAACAGATACTTAAGGACTGTTGAGTCAAGACGACGCACATATCTCATTACCCTCTCATTGCTTCACTGTGCTTGTGTATGATCCTCTAAATCATTTTATAGAGATTGGGGGGAAAATTTCCCAATTTTACCAGGTGGTTCAGGACACAGAATATATTTAAAATGAAAATGGAATTAATTAATCTGAAACAAAAAGACTGAGATAGCCCAGCCAAGGAATCTACTTTCAACCACGGAAACCTGTTATTGCTCGTGTGGACTAATTTAGTGCATTCCTTTTACCTTCCCTAAAATGCAGCTTTTCCAAATCCACTAACCTCATCCAGCACAACCCATTTACTTGCTTTCATGCATGTTACACAGGCTATTATCCAACATTGCTAGCAAAATCTGAGCATTTTCTTATAGCTGTAGGTACATTTGAGTTTACTGAGAACAGGAGAACCATTGAACCTGACTGGGACATAGACTGCAGCTTTGCAGAGCTCCATGTTTCATAACAAAGCCCTGCAAGGACCAATGCAGTTCAGCTCCAATGTACTGCAAGGCATGAGAATAAACTGCTAAACTCTGGTATTGCCAATGCCTGAATTATGCAAGTCTTGCAGGGCTGGATGTATTTCTTGAGCAGAATAAAAAAATTTGCAAATAAATTTCAGTTTTCATTTAAAAATTTAAAGCAATTTCTGTTTTTTTTTTTCCTTAACCCTCGTGACTACCAAGAAAACTTTTAAAAGATTTAGTTGATGCACCCTAAAGGCTCAAAAACCTGGGGGAGAATAAGAAGAACCTGTTTGTCTTTTTAAAAAGAGTCTCATGACTTATAAGGTGGTATCTTGCTTATGGGGATGGGTGGATCCGATTCATTTTCTGATAGCTCCCGTTTGGCAGTAATGTTAACTTTTACTTACCTTGACATAGGATTTTAATTTTTACTTGCCTACTGTAATCATGTTCTTCCCCATGTAACAGGTTCTGCTAGTGACAGGTGATTGCCAAATCTTTTTTTAGGGGGAAAAGCCAGTGCAGTTGTTTATTTATTTATTTGCACTTAGAGTGGGTGGGGAAGATCGGCACACAACTTACTTCCACAAAGAAAAAAAAAAAATGAGGTGGCACACTTTTGAAATGCCTTGTTTTCTTCTGCTGCAGAAACAGGAGGAGATATTGCAAGGCACAGAATATGGGAATTCTTGCAGAGGAAATATCCCATCATAAATGAGACACAGTTCTTCATAAATTCTTATTTCACCCAATTCATAGGGCTTCTCGCTCAACCTCAACAACCTACTCTATCTCAGCATTACAAACGATAACTACTTGGTCCTTTGCAGCATGGTTTTTAATAAGGTTTTACTATACTCTAAGTATGCATGTGAGAAACTTTGTTCAGTTTAGACTACTAAGGCTTTTGTTTTTAAACACTTCACTAGAGTATCAATTGTTAAAGATTTTCCTTCTGAAAAGACTGATTAACCTGCTTACATTCTTACTTGTGTTCTGAGGTCATTAAAAAAAAAAAAAAAAAAAAAAATCAAGGATGCTTATAAAGTCCTCTGCAATCCAATCTCAATTTGTCATCATTAATTAGTTCAACATTGCATACAAATGAAGACCTAACCTGATTAGACAGCATGTTTTACTGGAATTCCTACTTAAGGTCATGAAAGACCTCAGAGAGAAAATTTGTAATATTTTCAAAGTGAACTGCTCATACATGTGAAATCACCCTCTCACCTAGCAGCAGCTAGTGTTTCTCTGCAATTTTTGGCCTTTCCCCCTCCTTCCCCGACCTTTAATTAGGAGCCCATCACAAACCTGAGCAGAGAAGCAATCCTGATGTTATACTTATCTCCCTTCCAGCCTATTCTATACAAATGCTGCTGATTTGGCAAAGGGTGACCACTGTCCTAGGACGATAAGCCTGCCCTATAGAAAGAGTCTGCAGAACTTGGGAATGGGGAAAAAAAACCAAAAAACAAAAACCAGGTTTGGGTGATTCCAGCAGTTTTCAGAGACACAGCATTTAGGTACTCAGTAAGTACCCTCTCTCTATTCCCCTACCTCCAACAGAAGTAACCTTGGGATCTACATATGATTCTGGTTTGTTGTCTCCAAAGCACACAGATTGGGAGCTAAATGTGCAAAAAAAAAAAAAAAAAAGGGCCAAGAAATCCAAAGCATCTTCACAGCTCTCTAAATCCTCCCATAAAAGCAAATCTTGCTTTTTAGAGAAATAAGCCAGTCCTCTTACCAAGCCCACAGCCTTCGCTCCCATGACCTAATCTGACATGACTCAGCCCAGAAGCTCAGAGCAGCTCCGGTGAATCGTGCTGTCAGCCAGGACAGCAGATCCCCTGCCTGTCACCACCGAGAGCCTTCCCAGCAGAGCAAGGTGGGTCAACCTAACTCATACTCCCCACACAGGGAAAAGTGCAATACAGTTGATTTCCTTAGTTAATACTGTTACCCTGGAGAATGGCAAGAGGGGGGAAAAGAGAACTAAGAAACAAGGCTTTCAAGTTTTGGACTCTTAATAAGGGTGGGGCCATCAAGTAATTAAACTTTTAATAGGTCACTGCTGTGGAAGAAACTCTTCCAGTTGGGTAAGTTCCTAATCCATCATTAAAAAAAAGACGACAGGCATTAATCAAAGTGTATGAAGTCACATGAGGGGGGAGATGAGCAACTCCAAGAACTCGCTCTTGCTGCGAGGATGGGGCAATCACTCCTCCTTTCATCAACATTTCATGCATGTTTCCACATTTCTCAGGACAGCAGCAGGAAAGAGAACCTTCGTGTCCTTCCCCACCCACCCCACTGATAAAGCTGTCGAATGCTTATTACCAACCACTCAGGAGTCCATGTGAAACGAGTTGGTGGTTTAATTAGCAGAAGGGCAGAGCTCCGAAGATGGAAAGATGCTCCACTGTGAAAGGCGTATTGATTGAAAGTCCCCAGCCACCGCCGCAAGACTGTTATCATCCACTGTGAACACAGAGCACACTGCCAGTTCCTGCACGAGCAGCTAAATCTAGGTCACTTGGCTCAGCACAGGGACACCTGGACCACGGTCACTCCTCCCTGACCAGAGAGCTGCTTGGGAGCCCATTCCTTTAATAAAATACATGGTCTCAGACCTAGACAGACTGCGACAGGTACAGGGAGCACAGCTTCATCTGTTGGCAGCATGGTCCGCATCAGGGGAAAAAAAGGAAGGGAGGCAAACGTGTCTTCCCCCAGGCTGCAGACGTTTGGTGACTGTAGTCAGTAAGGAGTATTTTTTTTTTTTTTAAACCAGCTATAATCTGATCTTTGACTACTACCCAGATGCACACTAGAACTCGGTCTCCACTTTTACCCCAGAAAGCCACTATCACTACAGTGAGACATCTCAAGTGCTTGCTTAACTTTAAGCTCACGAGTAGCTCGCTCATCTTCAGCTCTGCTGGAACAGCCTGCTACATATGTTCAAACCCCATTTTGAAAGACTGCTTTTCGTAGTCAAAAGAACACTATCAGAAGGTCTGGTTCCCTGAAGCTGCACTAGGTAATTCTTTGTACCATACCTATCAAAAGAGGACATCTTTTCATACTCCTTCAAAGGACCCCCTCCTGAACAGCCTGCAAAAATCCAAGCGCAGCATTTTCTTGCTCTGAGAAATGGAAAGTAGAGCTGACCATTTCCTTACCCAAAGGGAAGTGAAAATAAATACCATGTGTAGTGTAAGGGGAGAAACCTAGACATGAAAACAAGCATGAACTACAGCAAGGCATCACACTCAATGCAGATAAGGTGAAATTTCAACCTCACTTATAAATCCTTCACCCTTTTATGCATGAACAAATGAAAACATTGGTCTTGAGCAGACCTATCACATTTTAGCCCCATTTAACACAATTTTCTGAACAAAGTTATTGCTACCAGTTGTAGATAAATTTTACTTGAAAAGGCTTTTAATTTATAAAGGATGCAAAGTTACAGTGATTTATTACTATGTATTCTTTTTCCAAAGTGGCGTACACAGGCTCTGCTGCTTGGCTGGGAGTGTGTTTGTTAGTTGCAATTCAAGCTAGATTGTATTCAAATTTGAGATCGAAGTAGTTCCTCAGATTAAAAAGAGAAAAAAAACCCAGACTATTTTAATGGTCTTAGCTTTTGGTAATTTTTTTTTTTTTTCGTGTCCTGGTCTACAAAGTTTCTAGAGATCGAGCAATCAAACCAGATCCACCAAAAATCAAGAGCTGGGCTTCAAAGCTCCATACATTATTATTTTTTTTTTTTTTTTTAATAAAAGTGCCATTCTGACAGCAAGAGCAAAGCGTTAAGTAAAAAATAACGAAAAAGAAAAGAAAAGTATATATACAAATTACCCAAATACTGCAGGGCTGACGCAAGCTGGTGATGCTGGGGTTCTTACACCAACTGCAAGAGGGGAAGGACACAGAGAAAGAGAAAGCCCCACACTCCATGTGTCAGATCAAGGAGCACCACTTCTGTCCTGCTGGCACGGCCCCACATGCCAAGCATCACACAAACCCATGGATGTTGAAGAAAGCCAAGGGAAGCACTGAAGCCACACTTATGCCCACCCCACGTTTTACTCCAGCATACCTGCTAGACCCCAATGAAGAGTCACTGTTTTATCACAAGTCATCTTTAAGCAACTGTCTTTTTGCAAGGCATTTTATTCACCTGGGATTTAGTGATATTATTGAGGGTTAAATTCCCACCACACCCGCCCAGAGCAGCCAAGATAAATCTCTCCCCTCCTGTGTGACACGTCATGCACTGAAAAGGACACGGGTCACTCTGTTCTTGCATAAGACTGGATATGTATCACATGAATAATGTCACTACTGGCATCGGGACCAAAGCCAGAGAAGGAGCAAAGCAATGCTGCGTCCTTACCGTCCATGTTGCTGACTTTGCTGTGCTGGACTGTTGAAATGATACATCGAAGCTGTGAGGTCCTGGGTAGTCTGTGTTGGAAGGGATGGCTGGGGAGGGTGAGAGGGCGTCAAAAGTTGAGCTGGGCTGGGCGTAAGGCGAGGGGGCCGTGACACTGTTCTGCGCGTGCTCCGTGTTGTAGGGGCTGGTGGAGGAAGAGCCATTCTGAATCTGCTGTTCCATGCTGTTCAGGAGCCCCAGGTTCGTGTACTGTGGCTAGAGGTAAAGAGAGGCACAGGAGTGTTACAGAAGCCATGTTAGCACAGGCTGGCTAGCCACAGCATGGCCTTCACCATCGAGGATGCGCAGCGTGATCTCAAGACCACCATACACCAGGAGGAAGGGGATTTGCAAAGGATATGCTTCTCACAGTCACACAATGGAACAACAGCTGAGCTGGGAAAAGAGCTTGCACATAACAAGGAGGCAATTCCCAGGGCAGCAAGCCATCACGAGGAGACAGGCTTCCTATGTCTAGCAACACCCAGACCAAGACCTTTTTGGAGGGACCTGATAAAAATCACCAGATTCATTACAGTGCAACCAGCTCTAACTTGGCTACACAGCCTCTGATGGTCTTGGGTTCTACACAAAAACTGCTCCTCCTCTTGTGGATCTGATCCACCAATGCATGGTGACGTTTAGAACCTCTAACTTGGGTAGTAACTGCACTGAAGTGTGACTCACTGGAGAAAAGGTTCATAGCACTTAACTAGGTTGCATCATGCACTCAATTCCCAGTGACTGGTCACAGACAGTAATAGAGAGCAATTAAAGGTCTCATCCAGTAGCATGGATGGCTTCTCCACATACTTAAGAAGCAGCAGTTGCACAGAGAGTAGCAGTTAAATGAGCAGATGTGGTTGTGCCCTAGAAGTAGCCTCCAGGTACAAACGACATATGAAATAATCAAAGACATCAAAAATAGACTAGAGAAAGGAGTACAGAAAGGCAAAAGGTTAGATTAGGGAGAAGTTAGCAGAAAAAAACCAACCAAACAAACAAAAACAAACACACCCCCCCCCAAAAAAAAAAACACACAAAAAAATCCAAACCACATGCCTAATGCCCTAAATCCTATGTGTAGCCCTGGTCCCTCACCTTAAATAGATGAGAGGGGAACAAAGTTCGGAAAAAGGTGATAAGAATGAACAAACCCTTTCATTGCCCTCCTGTAATACAGAAGTAGATGACTACTTTTCAGTTTGGAAAAAAGACAATGAGGAGGGAGGTGGAACTCGGTATGACAGAAGTGGATAATTTCCTAAATGATATGGAAAAAGGCAAATAGGAAATTAATTTTCATGCCCTCTTAATAGAGGAGTTGGGGAAAAACCTTCTGAGCAGGATTTTGGTTCAAATACACACAGAATGGTTCTTCACAAAGCCCACAGATAAACATTGATTTTCTGCCACAAAATGCTGCAGATACTAAAAGCCTACACATGTTCAAAAAGGCATCAGATAAGTTATGCTGGAGAAAATTCCATCAAGGCAAGTGTATCTGATTTTAAAACTCTGAACCACAAGCAGTTGGAAGCTGGGAAAGTATTCTGGGGAAAGAGAATTACACAACTGCTCTGCTCTTTCAGTCCTTCAAAGGACCCAGATTTGGCCACGGAGACAGGGCAGCCGGCAAAGCAGTACACGGGGTTCAGCCAGATATGTGTAGTCTCATCCCTGTGCCTGCACAAAGGGCACTGTCTGTGCCCAGCTTAGGGAGAGCAGCATCCAAGAGGTTTGTGGTACCCATCCCCAACAGCTCTGGGATCAACCAGGAACACGCAGCAATAAGCGCACCCAGATCTGCTGTTAGCTGCTGACATGGCAGAAAGGGTTTGGGCACTTTCCCTTGTCTAAGGGTCCAAGTGCCTCATGTCTCTCCATATCCTGCAGTTTCAATCCCACCCAGAGCCATCAAGCTCACGTATCTCTCAGTATTTCAGCCAGTCTGCTCCTGACTTCCCTCTTCTTTCCAACAGCTGCACTTTTTCCAGATACAACTCAGTATTATCAGCCAAGCAGCAAAGGTCCCCTGAGCCAGAGCACCAACTGCAAGACCCATAACAAAAACCTTTCCCAATATTTGGAAACCCACCAGCCCTGCTGAAGCTTTGAGCAGCACATCATCACTCCAAGGACCTGAAAAGGAATGGCACAAACTATCTGCTGATCTCCCCAGGGAATTCGGACAAGCCATTTAACACCCAGCTTTGCCAGTCATTTCAGCCATGGAAGAAAACAGGCTGGTCCCTTTGCAAGGATGAAGTGCCCTCCCTACACTCAAACACTTCACGTTCTCAGCTGTCCTTCCAGGATAGGAGGAAATAGAGAAATTTAAACCACTAATTAGAGCTCTTCCTTAGGTTTCTGTTTGTTTCACTGGAAGAGGCTGATATTTTATGGTGTTTTAATTAAAAAGTCAAGCTGAGGCTGGTGCTCTGGGGTCTTCAGTGAGGCACATGGGACCTTCCAGAAACGGATCAGCTTGCTACTATGGGCTGTGCTGGGGAAGAGAAGGTCTGGTGGGGAACAGCACAGGGGACTTAATTTTGGGAGCTGGGTTGGTCTGCAGAGAGAAGGGAGAGCTGGTTCCCTCCCTTGCTCTGTCAGCGACACAGTGTCCTTGGGCAAGGCACCTCGCCTCCCCCTCCACCCTCAGCCTACTTCAGGCAGCAAGGTCTGCAGGGCAGGGATTGCTCCTTGCTATGTAAAAAGCGATCTGCTTAATGGGCCTCTGTTTTGTCTGAAGCCTTCAGGCAGCAGAGTAATAAAAGCAATTACATATTGAGTCCTAATCCTGGGTGAACCAGTGACTCTGTTGCCTCAGGTTAGTCATTTGCCCTTCGTGCCTCAGTTTCCCCATCTATGGCAGCGGGGATGTGGGGATGTTCTAGATGCCCAGCACCCCTGTCCGATGGGCAAGCAAATATCTGTGACTGGACTCAAAGCATGCTAAATAGTTGATGCAGGAGAAAGCAATCCAGACTGGTTCTTCTTCTCCAAAAGGAGATCACAGCTTTGGTAATGCAGATGACAGTTATGTCTCATCTCCTACAGGCTATGCAGCCAACCAAGACCTATTTAACGGACTTTTGGTACACGTTTTCCCTTGAGGCTAATTCTGTATGAAGAGAGCCAGAATACTGATGTACTGTACCAGGAACAGTCTTTTTCCTGCTCAATAATTTTGTATTTAATAAAAAACAAGCCTCCCTATCCTTCTGCCCCAGAATACCCCAATAAGACCTGAAGAACTCTCAAAACTGTAGCAGTATCACTCAGTTGTTGCATTTCTCATGGAGATTAGCATCAGACACACTTCCTAACCAGCAAATGATGAAAAGACGGCTGTGATGAAAACAGTCTCCTAAACCAGCTCAGACATACAGACAGCAAAACAATAGTGTTTCAGCTTTCACTTAAAATCTATTCCCTCTAATCCCAGGCTATTTAAGATGATGGAGAAAGATGGCCAAACAGGCAATTGGCGTTAACAGCACAGTCTGGAAACACTGAAGGTGCTGCCTGGAAGTCAATTTTAAAAAGCGCCCCATTAAAATTTAAGATATCATTGAGAGAATCAAAGATCTTTTTCATTCCTTTCAGTCCAGGGACCATCTGTCTAAATGTTACCAACGGAGCAGCCATTCCACTGCATTTATATACTCACATGCCACAGCCAAATGCCATGTCCCCGTTTGCTCTTTAAATAACTATTAATCTCCTTGCACTTATCCTCGCGCTGACACAAGCAGCTGTTGGCCTCCCCTCTTCCCCCTCCAAGTCCCACCAGCCTTTCACCTTCCCTGGCCCCTTGCTCCTCTCCCCAGGCAGGTGCTCCATCCCTGGTGACAAAGCCAGCCGCCCAGTTTGCACACACAAGCACTAAACCTCCTCTCGAAGCTATGCCCCAAGGCAGACGGAGAGTTGTTTGCGCTCAAGGGGTCAACATCTGAATTGCTTGCAAGGCTTTTGGAGGAATCAGATAAGGCTTTCGGAGGCACACGCCTTCTGACAACACAACAATTAGAGGGGCAGCAGGCCCAGGGAAGGCGCATGCAGGAATTCACTGCCGCAGCAATAAAACCCCTTCCTCCATCCACTCTGCGGATGGAGAGAACAAAGAGAGCAAAAGGGCGGAGGGCATGTCTGCAAGGCATCGCCTTCCTAGAGGGGTCTGCAGGGTGTGTGTTTGCACACACACAGCCTCCCTTTCACCATTTACAGAAAGAAACACAACAGCATGTAATTCAGAAATTAATTCTTGCCAGGTTGGTAGCCCAGAATTTAGCCCACACTCATGTTTTGCTGCAGGGTTGCTTTAAACAACTGCAGGATGTAGTCCCACCATGCATTCCTGGCAGAAGGAGAATGCTATTTGGTGGAAAGAAGAGAAATGCATGTAAAGCTGAAAGAACGGATTATCTAATTTTCAGTGCCTTTGTTCTCTATTTTGTTCCCTTCATCAAGTTTCTGACACTATTAGTATCGCTGAGGCATTACAAAGACCTTCAGGCGAATTTAACTGCAAATAGTTAGAGAGCTACAATTAGATCTTAGACTATGTATTTTGGAACACTGTTTCAATAATATATCTTGAACTATCAGTTTCACTTCCTAGGACCCATCAACTTCACTTTCAGGTTTTCATGCTAATTCATGCTTCTAGCTTAGGAGAGCCATGGTTTCACTGGAGAGGCTGCTGAATTAAAAACCAGACTGAAAACTGCAGAATTGTTTCATCACGGTTCTGCTGCCAGGAGAACAGGTCTCCCCAGCGAACGCTGAGGACCAGGGAAGGCAGAAAACCTCCCGGCCCCAGTGGCTCCAGGGCACTTGCCACAAGAGGGCAATGCAAATGCTCCACTGCGAACGGCCGCAGAACTGATGTGCCGGGGAAAATTCCCCAACCCACCCAAACTGGGGCCCATCTCATCTTGCCCTGCAGCAAGAACCCACCTCCAGTCCTTCGGCCACAGTCCACTTTTAAGGTGTTAATTGATAAGGTTATGAGATAGACCTGCAAAGAGACCCCCAGTACAAAGGCATGAGAGAAGTAATGAAAGTAGAGTTCTCAAGGGGACTTCCGTGCCAAAAATCCCCTAAAATACACAGCTCCAGCTACTAACTACACAGTTATCGACCTTTCAGATACAGTTTTGAGAGTTTCTCCAGCTGAGAAAATAAAGGAAAAGTTACCATCTTCAAGTGCA